ACGGCCCCAACCCCAACGCCACCGCGGCCCGCTACGACGACGAACCCCTACGACGGCCACTGCGCGGCGTTCCCTGCGACGGCGTCCCACGGCTACGCGGGCAGCGTTTCCCTCACGGGCAGCTGGGCGGACGACACGACGACCCAACCGACGGCCCCCTGCCCCGCGACCCAGCGACGGGCCCCCACGACGCCCTCAACGACGGCCTCTGGGCGACGACCTCGGCGACGGCGACCCCCGCGACAAGCCCCCGCGACGGCGACGGCCAAGGCGGGCGCGAAGACGGCCGCGGCTGCCACGACAGCCCCCGCACTTGCCCCCGCGACGGCCCCCGCGATGGCCTCGCTGACAGCCCGCGCGACAGCCTCGCGGACTCCCCCCACGAGCACGATCACGAAGACTACGCTGTCTCGTCAGGCGAGACCCGCCCCGCAGAGGACTAGGACAATTCTTTACGCTTCGCGTATCCCCACCAGCCCATCTCACAACAGCAACTCTTGCGAAGCATGCCGGCAGTCGTGTTTTTCAGGCGTGTGTCCGCTTGCCCCCGCATATCTCCCCTGTTACTCCTTCCTCCCGCCTCCTTGTACATCCTCCTTGTGGGGGGAGCGGGAGAAGGACGAGGCGGAGGGGGAGGGAGAGAAAGCGCTCCTCGTGGTTTGAGTCGTTTGGGGTTTCTCGTCCTGGTGTGAGTCGTTCGGGCCCTTCTTCCTGGTGTGAGTCGTTCGGGCTCTTCGTGGTGTGAGTCGTTCGGGCTCTTCGTCCTGGTGTGAGTCGTTCGGGCTTCTCGTGGTGTGAGTTGTTCGGGCCCCTCGTCCTGGTGTGAGTCGTTCGGGCCCCTCCTCCTGGTGTGACTCGTTCGGGCTCCTCGTGGTGTGAGTCGTTCGGGGCCCTCGTCGTGGTGTGAGTCGTTCGGGCTCCTCGTGGTGTGAGTCGTTCGGGCGCCTCGTCCTGGTGTGAGTCGTTCGGGCCCCTCCTTCTGGTGTGAGTCGTTCGGGCTCTTCGTGGTGTGAGTCGTTCGGGCCCCTCGTCCTGGTGTGAGTCGTTCGGGCTCCTCGTGGCGTGAGGCGTTCGGGCACCTCGTCCCCTTTTGGGGCGTCTTGGGGGCCTCTTGGCGGCCCCAGGGGCTTCTAGGAGCGTCTTGGGTGCCTTGGGGGAGCCTCTTCGGGCCTCTTGGGAGCCTCTTGGAGGCCGTGTGGGGCGTCTTGGGGGCCTCTTGGCGGCCCCAGGGGCTTCCAGGAGCTTCTTGGGTGCCTCGGGGGAGCCTCTTGGGGCCTCTGGGGGCCTCTTGGGGGCATCTTGGGGGCCTCTTGGAGGCCTCTTGGGGGCCTCCTGGGGGCCTCTTGGGGCCATCTTGGGGCCTCTTGGTGCTTCCTGGGCGCTTCTTGGGGCCATCTTGGAGGGAATCGATCAAAGAAGAGGGGAGCTTTCATGAGCGCTGCCCCCTCAGAAGGGCAAAATGAGCCCAAAACCTGCGTAAAATCAATGATTTTGCCTTGAAGGAAGAGGGAAGCTTTAATGAGCGCTGCCCCCTCCGAAGGCCAAAATGGGGCCAAAACCGTAGTAAAATCAATGATTTTGGCTTCAAAGAAGAGGAGAGGGTTTTTTCTGCCTCCCCCCGTCGGGGCCAGAATCCTCGTGAGGGGTATCGTTTTGTAGCCCTCCCAGGAGTCGAAAAGGACTCCCCTGACCACCCGCGAGGCGCCCTCTCCAGGCCCAGGGGGAGGGGGTAGGGGGAGGGGTAAACCCCTCCCCGAAGGGGAAGAAGGGGGGTTGAGAACAGAGAGAGCTCCCTAAACCACTCACGCCCAAAGGGCTGGTGGGATTTGCGCAAGACCGCGAATCGGCGCATACTCGTCACAGGCCTCGGACGTCGCATCGACAACGAGGCGCCACCTTCAGTCTCTTCGGCAGGATCTGGAACTGGTGGGTCGTCTCCGGCGAGCACGGCTACCCGCAGGGCTACGGCTACGTCCACTTCGAGACCGAGGAGGCCGCCCAGAAAGCTACCAGCCGCGCGCTGGGTATACCTTGCGGTAAAGGCAAGCTCTGGGCCAAAGCCGTCTCCACCCACGACTCTGAGATCGACCAGCCTGAGCAGTACGACCCCGCGCAGGACTGGATCTCGCCTCGCCTAAATATATTACCCCGCGGCCCCCACGAAGGCCACCGCGACCCCGCTGCCCCGACCGACGGCCCCCCATCGCCCCCCACCCGACGGCCCCCACGGCGAAGGAGGTGGTGCGCCGCCACTTTTGTAAATGAATGGCCGGAGGCATGGGAACCGTGAGCCACCTCTCCCTACCTCCCCCCCCCTACCAGTCGCCCACGCGCAACCCGCACCTCGCCAGCGCCACCGCCCTCAACCCCGCTCCCTTTTCATCATCCTCGGTCTCCCCCCCATTGGGCTCCGCCGTCTCCGCGGCCGTCCCCGGGGGGTCCCCCTCGCCCCCTCGCGCGCCTTCCCACCTCTCCTCGGACCCGCTCAGAGACTCCCAGG